GCAAAACTGGGATATGGAAGCTTCTTGGTTTGAGGTAAGGCTGAAAAGGCGAGGGAAGGAGTTGGCCAAGGTTGAGTTACCCCACCATAGATCAGTCCAGAACTTAATTCTGTCACTCTTGCCCACCTTCTATCTCATAAAAGAGATTAAAAAAGTGCAAGTCAAGGTTATACCTGTCCAAGGGTGGGGTGTCTTTGACCCGATTCAAGTGAAGCTTGCTATCCCAACCGTTGGTGTGCTTCCCATATTTGCTAGTGATTTTACAGCAGTCCATAGCACACTTGGTTCTAGGGGGAATCGCCACAACCATTTACTGAGAAGAGCTGTGTTTCTTTCTTTCAAGTGGCCCTCCCAACCTACCACCCTCCTTTGGTTTGCAGACCTGAGACCACCTCACAGGGTGTGAGCCCCTTTCCCCACCTTCCCAAATAAAATTTCTCTGAAGCTCTTCTAACTGAATAGCTATTTTGTTTGGCAAGCGGAAAATAGAAAGGTAGTAGGTGGGTAGGTTTGCCAGAGAGGCTCTAATGAGAGTGAGTCTCCCCCCTTTGGGCAGGTAATTCCTTTTCCATGAGGCTAGCTTCTTCTCACATTTTTCTGTATTAGTTCCCAAAAACTTTGATTTCTCAGATTCCCTCCAAGCGGCATCCCCAGATAGGAGAAGGGGAGGTTCTCCGCTTTGCATCCCAAGATATTATGCTTTCTTGGGAAAAGACAGTACACAGTTTTTGGTGAACAAGAATATGGAGATAGAGGATGAGGAAAAGGGAGATACAAAGTGTGAACTTCTTTTATCCTTTTTCCTGTTTTGCATTCAAGTTCCTTTCTGTTAAGTGCCATATCTATTGATAACATTATGAGTGCTTATTCATAAAAAAAAAAACATTATGAGTGCTTAAATCATTTCTTACTACTTGAACCCATGCCCTTTTCAGTCTGCCCTAGCTCTTCTAGCCTCTTCAACTTGTAACAGATCACCTTTCTTACAGGTGCTGTAGATGGTCTTCTATGCATGTTAGTTGTGACCTAACTGGCCAAATATCTTAGTATACCTTCTCTCATTTAGTTGCCTATTGGAGCTACTTTAAGTTTCTTCCAAGGACTTCATTTCTGATCCTGTCCTTTCCAGTTTTTCCACTCATCTATCTCAACGTTTGTATTTCTGGTCGGTGCCCAGGAATTGACTAATCAATCACAAAAAATCTATACCCTAAATATAAGATACTGATTTGATTTCATGCAAGTTAATGACTTAATATAGACAACAAATATGCACTAAAAGAATGACAGGGTAACTGAGGGTAGCTCAGTTGGTATACTGGCTGATTTGTCCAAGTGAAATGTGGATTCGAGTCCTGCTACCATCGACTTTGAAAGAAAAAAGTTACAAGTAAATACCAATTGGTGTGATGCTGTGCTATTCAAAAAAGTAACCACCCCTATGGGGGATTCAGGTGTTGATTAAATTGTGGACCAGCCGACCAGGCTGGGTTAGAAACAATCACCGCAAAACTTTTTTTTTTCGATATCTGAAAGCAGAAGTGATCACCCTTTGTTGTTGCCTTTGTCTTTAAAAGGAAGAGTACAACCTTGATTATCTTGTTACCCCTTCGTCTATGCCAACCTTTTACCAGCATAACACTGAACGGGAGAAAACTTGAAGAACACCACTATCTTCTTTTATTCTCTGTCTTCTTTCTATTTATATATTATTAACCACTCATGTACAATCACAAATGCATAAAGCGACTAGCATGAATATACCTAATAAAAGCATATATGATATTATTTAAATAATTACAGATAAGCACAAACAAATTAAGTTTTAAAATAACTTTATATTTGACTATGTCTGTGTGTGTATGAGAGAGAGGTGTTATGCATGATGCACCTTTATGTTTTGTTATCGTTGCTCAAAAAGAGAGGGAAAAACACTACGAGTTATCTTTTCATATATCTAATATTTTAAGCTCTTTTGCTACATTAACATTTTCTTTATAAAGATAAGTATCTAGTTGGGTTTGTTATACTGAAGTCATGCAACCTATATCGGGGTGGGGACTGGGGAGTTTATGGAGTTAAATAAATATTTTGTTTGTACATATTAGATACCATTGAATTTGTGAAGAGCTTTGTTAGATTAACAGTGTCTCTACTCTCTACAAATTGGCTTCCCAATTTCTTGTGCTTTCATTTGTTAGATTAACAGTCTGTCGTAAACCTGAGCTCTCTCCCTCAAATTTGTGTAGGCTGTGATGGAGATCTATGGCATCTATAGGGCTCAACTTTCAGAAAAGAACATTTTAGTGCTTTTTGAAGCATTGCACATTGTAGCCTCCCATGCTCACAACATAAACAGTGACAGTGACCTTAGATCAAAGCTACAGGAGCTTGGTTCCATGACCCAGATGCAGGACCCTCCATTATTGCGCCTTGAGAATGAGTCCTACCAGATTTGCCTTACATTATTACAAAATCTTATTGTTGACAAAACCTTCAGTTATGACGAAGTTGAAGTTGAAAATCATCTTATTAACCTATGCAAGGAGATCTTGCAGTTTTACCTTAATACAGCACGCTCTGGACAGTTGTGTGAGTCATCTATTAATGGCCAGCCAAGGCCCAGCTGGTTGATTCCTCTTGGTTCTGCAAGAAGGAGAGAGTTGGCAGCACGTGCACCTCTCATTGTGGCAGCCCTCCAGGCCATATGTGCGTTGGGAGATGCTTCATTTACGAGGAACTTGGCCTGCTTCTTCCCCTTACTGTCAGGCTTGATAAGTTGTGAACATGGATCAAGTGAAGTTCAAGTGGCGTTGAGTGATATGCTCAGGACATCAGTTGGCCCAATTTTGCTTCGGTCTTGTTGAGTAGGGCAGATCCGATTTTAAACTTTTAGATGTATGATATATATATATTTTTTTTCAAATCCTTTGTAGTTCTCGTTATCTTATTTGTTCATTTTATTATTGACCAAGTGTAGGTTGTTAGTGTGTGACCAAGTAAAGCCATGGTTATTGGGTTGCTGAGTGCTTCTGGCGTAGAGCACAAAGTCATCCGACATTCACAGATGTAGAAAGGAGTTATGATGTTGTATGCTGTAAGTCTTTTTTCGAGCCAATAAAATTACACGTAGAAGGTCGGCATTTAAAGGGCAGTTGATCAGGCCGTATAAATAGCCTAAAAAAAAAAATCCATGATTAGTATGGAAGCTATGACCTATGAATTGCATTGCACCATGTCAAAATATACAAATTTAGGCGATGTTTGGTATTGTGTAAACATTTATTGATGGTGCCACATGCGTCATCTCAGCATTTTCTCTCTTTTGCAACTTTGGTTTATGTGCATGCTAGCCATTTGTAGAAATTATTTTTGAACCTTTCACAAACGGTCAGGTGTTTATAATGCCTAGTGGCACCCAATTGTCATAAACGGTTGCAATTATTGCATTTCTCTGTTTTACCAGTAAATAAAGTACAAACATTTATTCAATAAACATAAACGATACCAAATACATGTTTATTAATTTTCAAAGTGTATAATATTGGATGGCCAAGACAAAGAATACAAATCTCTTCACCAGATAGTTAAAATTTAATACAATGGATTTGCTTCGTCCTTTATGCTTATGCTTACGTTACGGCCATTCTTAATCGTAGGAGATGGTTTGCACTTGTACATGCCCGTGGTTTTAGTCGGTTTGTCTGTTGATGAATTCCTTAGTGAGAAGTAACTGAAAATGCGAGACCCGACCCAGGTTGACGTTCGTGACGTGACCTTCAACACGCGAGCAATGGACGAGATATAAACTAAAGCTAGTAGGAAGTTGGAACAGGAGAATGGTCATATATTATTAAATTTACACCATGATATTATCAACAGTCTCCAAATTGGTGTGATCTTGGTGTCCCCCGCCTAGCTCATGCTCATCTGCGCCGCAAGCAAGATGTAGTGCCTTTTGGGCTTCTTCAACCCAATCAATCCGCCCAACAAACAGTAGCAACAAAATCAAACACGAGACCATCCCTACCAGGAAGGCCAGCAACAATCCACCGAGCGCAAGCCTAACCTTGAAAGCCAATACGATACCCAGTGGCAAAGTGAGCAAGTAGAAGCCACCGAGGTTGGCATACATCCCCAACCATGGCCTAGCTGTTCCACGAACTATTCCTCCACACACAGCCAACGGGAAATTTACCACCTCCACCAGTGCCATCAGCAACATCATTTTCTTTACGCCCCGCACAACCCCCTCATCATGGCTATACAGTGATCCCCACCCACCTCTGGCTGCTACCATTACTGAACCACCGATGCATCCACAAATAACGCTCACTGCCAACGATACATAAGCAGATTGGCAAGCAGGCCTGGACCGGTTTGCACCAAGCTCATTTGATACGCGTGTGGATGCACTGGTAGCTAATGAAAGCATGACCGAGTAGAGCAAATAATCGAAGTTCAGCACCACCGCTAACACCACTACTGCCTCTTTGGCATTCGCCAGACGTCCTGTCAGTAGGACCAATATCTCGTAACACCACCATTCAAGGCAGGTCGTGAGGCAGCACGTTCCCGAGAGCTTCAATAACTGCACCCACTCACTATATCCTTGATCCCACCACCCTCCTTTCCACCTTTCACTTTGTCTACTCTCCATCGCCAGGACATATAAAGCAAGCAGAAGAACAACGATGAGATCGGTCACCCAGACCGACATGGAAACTCCCTCCAGACCTTTCGCCTTCGAGAGCAATATGTTGGTGGGCAGGTGAAGGGCTAGCGCCACAGCTGAACTCAACATAATTGGAATGGTTATGCTTTGAGAGCTCAAATAGGCCTTGAGAGGACAAAGAAACGATTTGACTACCAAGTCGGGGAGAAGATACATAAGATAATTCTTTGCAACGACTGAGATGTCCGGCTGTTGGCCAAAGCGTATGAGGATCTTATCGACGTTGATCCATAAGAGAGCCACCGGAATAGTTGTCAGTAGTAGGAGAAAGGTGGCCATGACGAGCGTCTTATGAAGGAGCTTGTAGTTTTTTGCTCCGTAAGCCTGTCCACAGATGGGCTCCATGGCACCACAGAGCCCGTTTAAGACCGAAAATCCGGTGACGTTGGCGAAGGTGAAACCAAGCACCCCTCCCGCTAGTTGCAGCTGCCCCAGCCGACCAAGAAATGCAGTTGTGATGGCGAGCTTCGCAAACCACGTCAAATTCATGGCCATCAACGGAATGGCAATTCCCCGTTGCATCTTTAGCTCCGAGAGCACCACTTGTTTGAGGCCCGTCGTCGGCCATTCCTGATCCTGAGTGAGAGGTGAAGATGGCTGGCTGGGGATTTTCTCTCTTGGGTCCTCTTCCAATGCTGATGTAGTCGTGGACATGTTTACTGAGTAAAATGATCAATTGGTGTGGTACCTTTGTTCTTCACACACAGTATATCTGCTGGTTACGTTTCTTAAAATTGAAGAAAAAAAAAAGATGGATGATGGAGTTCACTGATTTCGTGAAGGCTTTGGGCCTTTGGCTCTCGACACAACTTTAGTAACGCTCGATAAAGGTGAGAAAAGTTGGTGGGCGTTGTAGTGCGCGATGAGAATGGTTTTCAAAGGCGAGGGGGATCTTGAGCTTTAACCCTTTAAAGGGTGTGGACAAATAATGGTCTTATCGTGGATGGTTGGCCGCACACGCACTCACTCATCAATCAAAGTTACTTAAACCGCTATTAGGCTTAATATAGTAGCTGCTGTATCTTCTGATATATATGATCTCAGTTCATCAATCTCCAAACATCTATGCTCAAGGAATATTCCAACTTCCCAGAGGCCACTGTATGGATACCCTGATAAAAAAACTTCAACCACTTATTTCTTCTATTTTTATATATAATTTGTATTTTTTTTATTTATGATGTCAAATGCTTGGCTCCTTTTAATTATCAAGCATTCAATTAAGTGGTGTAACTGCTGACCCACAAAATTGTTTACTTATTTTTAGGCTCCATTTGGAAGAGTGCAAATTGATTATAGATGCACGTTCGGTGTAAATACAATTCATGAAAATGACAGCATTTATATTTGAACTGAATATATTTATATTTACATTCTTCCCAAACGGAGTCTTAATAGCATGTCCGTTTTTTTATATATTTTATGCATTTTGTATATTTTACCCTTCTTATATAATTTTCATTTTATTTACAATATATTGGCTTAATTAACCCATTTAGATGATTGAACCACTAACCCACAAGCCAACATCCTGGGTTGACCCGTTTATACTTCTCTGAGTCACAAGTCACAACACAGTTTGAAATATGGATAAATTTTAAGAAGTTTTCACTTCAAATTAATAAAGCTAATGGGTCTTTCTGTGCTGTGTATATCCTTTAAATGTATTTGTAAAGCCTAATAGACCTAGTCACTTATTAAATGATTTTAATTCTTTAAAATCAAGACCCCAAAACCTCAGTAGTCATTACTCACTCCTAAGATAGTTTGCCAAAAGACACCTTATTGTCTCTTTGAAAAACATCATTAAATGAATGTATCAGGTTAGAAATCAATACATTTTAATATTATTATTTTAGTAATAAATAATTATTATTCTACATAGTAAAATCATCAAAATGTTTCAGAATCATCATTCAATCATTAAATGAATGTTTCAGGTTTGAAATCATTAGATTTCAATATTATTACTTTATTAAAAATGTAAAATCATCAAAATTTCTCAGAACCATCATAACTGGATCCTTGAATCAATGTTTCAGGTTTGGAATTATTACATCTCAATATTATTAATATATTATTATTATTATTATTATTATTATTATTATTATTATTATAGTAAAATCATCAAATTTTTAGAAGCATTATTATTATTAATAAAAATATATAATATGGATTGTTTTTGGCGGGATGTGTTTTCTTAAACATAAAACGTATAATAAAATAAGTAATATCTAGGATCAAGGCTCTACACATAACACACCAATGATTATTAAACGTTGGATAGTAGGAGAACAATGATCTACACGTGTGAATGCCGCTCATGTAGATTCCATTTCCTGGAATCATGATCAACCACGTCTCTAAAGAAAGTAGACATTTTGTTTAATTTAGATGCCTTTAATCATTCATTTCTCGTTGGAAACACTGGAAATTACACAACATCCTCATGATTTTAAACGGCTATATACAAGATGAAGATGTTGCATTTTGTAAATTAATGTCCTTAATTTTGCTTCAATTAATTATAAAGTCTGATATACAAGAAGATACTTCTAATCAAGGTTTTTAAAACCGGACTAGTTAGGAAATCGTTTTGGGTCTGGTTCCTGGGTCGAATAGTTTGGATGGACGGTCTGTTCTGACAAAAAATTAAAATGAAACCATCTTTGGGTCAGTGATTTTCTGACCAAATCAATAGCTTTTGGCCAAAGAATGCTTTTGAGTAAAACAGAACCGGTCAGATGACTAATTCCTGGTTTTTCCGATCTGACCATCCGGTCCGATCTAGTTTTGAAAACATAAAGGAAAAAATAAAGAAAAAAGAATTAATTATTTACTACATCTGCATACATTATCTTGATTGAAATCCCCTAATTAAGATACTTTCTTTCAATTTGGTAATTTAGTAGTTAATACAATGCATGTGCTGGACCCAACCAATAAATGAAGACATTTATTGGTTCCGCCATCACTGTTGATTTGTATATTGAAGCAACTTTGATATCCACTTTCTTTTCATCTTTTTAATGCAACCATAAGTGATGTGGCCCTGCCTATTTCTAATTAGTAATTTGTATAGAGAGAGAGAGGTAAACCAAGAATCTGCAGGAACCGTAGTACTTACTTATCATGGTGGGCTTATTTAATACTTTTATCATATAGTGGGAACTCGCCAACTTGTCTCAATTATAAAGTACTGGGACTGCCACTAAAGAGTATCGACATTAAAAAAGAAAAAAGAAAAGAAAATCAACATGGGCAATTGTGTATTAATTCTTAGTTCCCGAATTTTGGGTCTAGTATCATTTTAATTTCCGAATTTTAAAATGCGATAATTCAGTATCCAAACTTTTAAAACGTGTTAATCCAGTACCTACCATTAACTAGTTGTTAATCAGTCATTTAGTAGCATTTGAAATAGACACAAACGTTGTTCGAGTTTCATCTAATTTTCTTTATAAACCATCCAAACATTGACAAAAAAAATTAACAGTCCCAAATCCTTATTGCCTCTTCTATTCAAGAAAGCTGGGGTCATCAAAATGCCCACTGAGACATGACCCTAATTTTCTTGAATAGAAGAGGCAATAAGGATTTGGGACTGTTAATTTTTTGTCAACGTTTGGATGATTTATAAAAAACTTAGATGAAACTCGAAGGGCATTTGTGTCTTTTTCAAATGCTACTGAATGACTGGTTAACAGCAAGTTAACAGTAAGTATTGGATTGTCACATTTTGGAAGTTCGGGTATAGAATTGTCGCATTTTAAAGTCCAGAGACCAAAATGACATTGGGCCCAAAGTACAAGGTACTAATTGGGAAATTTTACCTAAAAATTAATTAAATTGTTTATTTGGGTTGTTAAAAGGAACTCATGTGAACATGTATCACAATTAGATATTGAAGATTTTTTTTTCTTACTTGTTAGCATCTTTGGTGGTTATTTCCATGATGATAAGCCACATCTCTTCTGCCCCAAACTTTTAAGTATATTCCATGTTAAGCTTACCCATTCATTCATTCATTCTTTAAATGTCAATGCACAAATTATTAAAATTTAAAAAGTAAACAGAATAATATTCAAAATTGGTACTTTAAAATTGATAAAATAAATAATTTATCAAATCCATGTTTATATAAAAAATGATATTTAATCTTAAGAAATTTATACAAAAGATATTAATAACAGAATAATTATTTCAGTACTTAAAATTTATAAATTTATACATGATAAGTATCTTAAAAATTTTATAAATTATTAATTATTATTTTAACTCACATAAATTTAAAACATATGTATTATTTACAAAAAGTAAAAATATTTTTTATAAAATATTTGAGAATACAATATTAAATCAAATATATCAAATCCACTATTTTACATTTTAGAAGTAAAAATATTAATAATGGAATTTAATAAAAGTATTATTTACCAAATATTTAGGAATTTAATATTTAGTTGAGTTTTTTTTTTTTTTTGTTAACTTTAAAAGGTAAGCATATTAAAATAATGACTTTGTATATGTATTAATTTGTAAAAATCTATATAATGTGTTGTGATCCTTTAGTTGATGCATTATCAATAAATTTGTATGATTTATATGCATTCAACTATATTAATTGTAATATATTTCTTCATATATAATATTTAAATATACATTTTCTATATATTTATACATTATATGTGGTTATTTTGACTTTAAATTTAGTGTTATTAATGTATTTATGAAATTTGTATGTATTTCCCTTATCCAAATGTTTTCATATTTTTCATTTATATTTATGTGTTTTCAAAATATATTCATATCCAAATTGTCCATATAAAACTCGATAGTAATACTTTAATTCTTGGTTTAAGAATATAATAGAGACTATAGAATTATACTCCAAGTTCAGCTTCAGAAGAATCATTTACAGCACCCAAAGGACTACCTGTAGCCATAACAAATAGATTTCTGTTAACATCTTATTCGAATTCTTTTTTAGGATCATTACCTGGGAAAACTTCCGGGAGAGATCAGATTCTCACCATTCCTCACCTCAGCATCAGACGAATAAAGAATATCTGAAATATGAGAGAGAATCCACTAACAGATTTTTTCCTATTATTTAATAATAAATCATTCCTCACATTGCAGATTGCAAAATATAGTAAAAAACAATAACAATCCAACAAAGAAAAAAATTTTCTACCCATTTTATCATTTAAATTATCCAGAAAAAGGATGTAATTAAATTCAACAATAGAAGAGAACTGATTTGCACTAAGAACAACGCATAACTGCTGAGAGGTAGCCACTGAAGATTTTTTTTTTTTTTTTCTTACTTGAAAGCCGCAGGTAAGAAGCAGAAGAATCTAACTTTGCGTAGTGTTTAATAATTTGTCCTATTGGTAGCTTGAAGTCTTGAAGATGCAACATCTGTGGATTGGGTATTGAGTAGGGCCAACCCAGGCCTAACCCAAGGAGTTGGGCCCCCAGCCCAAGGAAAAAAACTCTAGTACGGAGTCAACCCAAAGCAATGGAATATTTAAGGTACGTTTGGATCATAGTCAGAATCGGAATGACGGAATAGGAATAGTCTATTGAAATCAGCTGGAATGGGGGGAGCCGAAATGGTCATTCCCTCAAATGAGAGAATTCCATTCCACCAAAAATGAGAATGGAATTCCTATTCAGTCCAATCAAATAGTTGAAATTCGAATGGGCAATTCAAATTACAGACCCTTATTCACACAAACCAAACAGGTTATTTATTTGGTTATTTGTATTCCCAAATTATGGATGAAGCTATCTATAGAAGAACGTTTTACGTTTTATTTGTAAGAATCAACCCAGTAAGACACGGACACTGAACAGAGCAAAATGGCATGAAAGGGTTTTACATATAGATATAATGAAAGCTTTGTTCGGTTAAAGAATTTGGTTGACAGGGCTTAATTAAGCTTTGATTGAGTCGCTCTAGCTTTAGCTGCTTTCAAGAAACCACTAAAAGAAGCTTCAAGGGAGATCCATATAAGTAGCTGAATAATGGTCCATTGTCCACCTTACAAAGCCAAAAGCCAAAAGCAGCAATGTAAAGGGATACAACTTTAGTGTGGGTGTGGTTGGGCGTTGGGGTGGTGGGGGCTGAGGAGGAATGATTAATTTGGTGGAGTCTGAATGATTGAAGAATCCACAAGCCAACTCTTTTAGGAATTCCACAACCGTCACCGTATTCTCCTCTCTCTCTCTCTCTCTTTCTCTCTCTCTCTTCAGAATAAATTTCAAACCAAAAATTCTAAATACGACCTTATTCATTGGCTTCTGCT